CTAAACAATACAAATAAACTATTAATCACAGCTGTGATAGACTGATTAATCCATTATGGTAAAGATGAGTTTATTAGTTTTCTTTCTTTTTTTTTTCTTTTTATTTGTATTCAGATTACTAACCTTTATTATTTTTTTTATATCTCATATTTTCTTATTTTACTAGGACAAATGGTTAGTCTAATCTGAATCTCAATCAGTTCAATCAGTTCAATGTGCAAAGGTAAGCAGTTATTTTTTTATCTTTCTTTCTTTGCATTGTATTAGATTACTAACCCTTTATTTTTTTGATTTATTTAGGATGAATTGTTAGTCTAATATGAATAATTTCATTTAGTTCGATCAGTTTATAATGGTAAAGATGAGTTTATTTTCTTTTTATTTTTTCAGTTTCTTTTTTTTGCATTACTAATTACTAATCTTTATTTATTTTCTTTTTTCTTTTTTCTTATTCATTTTTATCTAAGATATTTTTTAGTCTAATCTGGATGATTTTGTTTAGTTTGATCAATCTGTTACGGTAATAGTAGGTGATTTTTTCTTTTTTTTTTGCATTATTTTTGCATTACTAATTCTTTCTTTTTTTATTTTCATTTTTCTCTAGATAATTTTAGCTTTAATTTAGATTTTGATCAGTTCAATACAATCAGTCTATCGTAATGTGAAGGTGAGTGATATGCCTTTTTTATTTTTTTGTGTTTTTGCATAGTCTTAGATTACTAATTATTTTTTTTATTTTTATTTTTTTATCTCTACATTGTTTTGGATTACTAATTGTTTTGTCTTTTTAATTTAATCAATTAAATTAATCATTAATCACGCCTTATCTACTCTTAAAAAGTTAAGCTTAAATTTATTTATATATATTTTTGATTTAGTAAAAAAGGTATTGATCAGCTATGCCTTATAGATCCTTTTTTTTTTACAATATCTAATAATTTATATTATACAAAACCTGATTTTAATTTTTTAAGGCTAGACTTGAAACATAAAATTTTGTAAAAAAATACGGATATTTTTTTTTTGGTTTTTGATATATAAAGAACCTCTGTTCTTTTAAAACATTTACAGTAAAACAATATACAGAAACAGTATAACGAAATACTGAAATAGTATAACAAATACAGTAATAGTAAACAATAATAAAGTTTTCTTAAAAATGGTATCAAGATTGTTTTGAAAATCTTTACTTTTTTATATATTACAAGGCAATAATCAGCGGCAATATGAACACAATTTTCCTTTTAAGTCAATTCATTTACCTTTTTTATATTGGTCAATATTATTTTTTATCAACCAAAATGTATATTTAGTTAATAAAGCTAAATAAATAAGGCTAAATAATTTTAAGCTTTATTCTAATTGCATAGAAAATTTTAATGCCTAAGGAAACTAATTCATAGTTATAGAAACGTTTTGCTAATCTCGAATGGTTATAAAGTTATGGATGGTTATCTTTAATTTTCTATTTTCAGGGTGTAATTTCAACGAAGATTTATTTCATGAATCTTACTTAAATGGTTGTAGAATTATGGATTTATTTTTTGTAATAGCGTTTTATTTTTAGTAAAATTTTTATTTATCAATGTTTTAAGAAGCGTAGTATTTGTGACCATTTTTGTTCTCTAATCAATAAAAAATTCTTTAGGAATTTCTATTTATCGAGTAATAAATAAAAATCAAAAAAAAGATTGATATAGATTTTGCGACCAATGGAATTTAAATTTTTAGAGCATAAATAAATGGTTTGAGTTTTTACTTTTTGCAATATATTTTTTATAAAATATACTTTATTTCTTTTTAATAAAAATGTAAATCGAATAACTGGACTATTAAAACTAAAATTATCAAAATTATATAAATTACTTATATGGAATTAAAATATTATTTCTTATATTAGAACAAAAGGATAATATTTTCAGAAAGTGTTGGAATTTGTAGTATTAAGGGCAATTCTATAAATTTAGTTAAAATAAAACGGCTAAATTGCTGTATCAAGGCGTTAAGGGGTTGGTTGTTTGATTTAAATATTTAGGGTTGATCTGCGTTAAGTAATCGGGTAAATTTGGTAAGCTATTTATTTTAGTCCTATGACACTCGAGTAACGTTAAGGATTTGGGTAAAGTTGGTAGGATAGTTATTTTAGTAACAGAACAAAAAAGTTTCGTTAAGGAGTTGGGTAGGATATTTATTGGAGAATTAGAACAATTAAGTTCCGTTAAGGAGTTGGGTAATGTTGGTAGAACAATTATTTGACTATAAGAACAATCGAGATCCGTTAAGGAGTTGGGTAATTTTGGTAAGCTCGTTATTTGAGAATTTCTACAATCCAATTTTGTCAATTTTCGATATCTTTGCAATCTGCCTAAGGTATCCTTAGTATCTGTAATAGTCAAACAAGTATCATTGTAAATTATTAATTCAAGATTTCCGATTCTCTTTTCTAATTCATTAATAATTTCTTGCTTTTCTTTGGATTCTTCTTCTCGTTCTCTAATCCTTTCTTCTAAATTATTAAAAATTTCTTGCTTTGCTTTGGTTGCTTCTTTACCCTTTTCTTCCAAATAATTCATAATTTCTTGCTTGTATTTGGTTTCTTCTTCTCGTTCTCTAACCTTTTCTTCTAAATATTTGAATTGAAAACGTAACTTTTCGTTACTTTGCTCCAACTCCTTAATTTTCGTTTCCAAGTCTTTTAAGGATTTTTCCAAATTATTCTTTAAAACCATTTTTTATTGAATGTTTTTGTACGGATGATTAATTCAATGAGTTTTATTGCTTTTTCTTGCAACAATAGAAATTTCTCTTTTGCTCAGCCCTAGGTTCAACTGTAAATAATTCCCATAAATAATCTAGTCTGCTCGGGATTACTTAAAAAGGATCTAACCGTTCCTTGCCTAACCAAATAAATTAACTGCTTTCTGAAATTGGTTATTTAGAGAATAATCGAAAATTTAAATTGAGTTTAGCTTATTTTATGCCCCACCTTATGAAATTCGCAACGGAACTTACATTTTAATTGATGAAAATTCAACCTTACAATAATTCGACAAAATTTTCAAAAGAATGAAAATGATGAACTAATACAATGGAGGGAATTAATCATTTTATTCATTAAATAATTAATAATTAGGTTAAAATAATGATGTCGTGGAAGACGTCATAAAAAAAAAAAGATTGGATATAATTTCGGACGAGAGGCGTTGATTAGTAAATAAAATCTTTACAGATAAAATAAAAATTTAATAAGGTAAATAAACTGATTAAATAAATAAATTATTTCTTTGTGACATTTTCTTTATGAAAGTTCAATTTATATATCGTGTAAGAAATAGTAAGTAAGTACATTATATAGAATAATTTGATTAAGTATGTATAACGATAACAATTCAATTAATCCTTTCAAATTCTATCGTGTCTTGTATATAAGAAGTTTATTAACTGTTAACTACAGTGTCTTTTCTCAAGACATATTAACACAAAACCTTATAACTCTGACGACAACAAAGTCGAACTACAGAACTATTTATATTAAATTCTAATCTGACTTTACATTATAGATAAGGGATAATAAATATAAATCATATACGCCGTCGATATTGATACCGTCTAAAATAAAAAAATAATGAATAAAAAAAACCAGTTGACAAAATAATAATTATTAACTTGTTGGATGTGAAACTTAAGAAAGAAAAGGCGTAAATTCCAAAGAAAAAATCGACCCTTTATCATTTCTAAAAAATAGTTTTTATTTTTTTTTATTTTCGATTTAACAGATATTAGGAAAATATTTTCAGAACAAAATTACAAAAAATTTGTTTTTGTCATGTAAGCAAAAAAAGATATAAATTGATTCATTCATATAAAGTATAAAGCATGCATATATTTTAAAATTTTCTAAACCTCATTTAGCAACGGAACTAACAAAAATTGAATTTATAGAAAATAATAAATTGTACACTCCCATGGAAAATTTTACTAAGAATTTCTAATTTAAATCTCTACAATTTACATATTGGTTTACTCCCATAATTTTTTATTGAAAATTTATATAAATTGGGAAATCTAATTTAAACCATTTCTCCTGCAACAATTTGGCAAACAATTTACTTACGGATATGACATTCTGATTTATTCAATAGGATTGTAGACCCAAAATGTTGATCAATATTTATTCTGAAATCCAATAGCTTGATGAATTGAAACATTAGAAATACAACCCTCTTAAATAAGATAGCAAATTAATAGTCATTTGCATTTTATCTACTATGAACGCGAACTAGACAAATCCAAATTGAATAAAATATTCCCACTCTTAATAAAATATTCCCACTCTTACAACTAACTTATAAAGTTAGAACCAAACAGTTAGCATCATATTTTTCTTGCAACAACACCTTAAACTGATTAGTCATTCCAAATAAGAAAATCCGGCTCCTCGTTAATTTCTGTCTTTTTTAAATAGCCGAACAAGGTGATGTGTGTCCCTTCGGTAAGTTTAAATTGCGGCCTAGGACATAGTGATTGGTTTCACCTCACCAGTTTCTTTATAATATGTTATAACCATACTTTTTTAGAAACTTAGGTATTTATAATAGTAGGAACTGGCACCGATGATTCGAATATGTTATTCTACATAAGAAAAGAAAATAAAAAATAAAATGCACAATTATATTGTGCGATTAAAGAGGTTTCCGCGAGCGAAATAAATAGTTGCATCATGTTGTTTATGCTAATTTATAAAAAAATTTTATCAAAAAAATTAAAGGTAATGTTGACTCACTCTATTATGGAGAAGGCACAGTAATTTCGTAGTTAATCATTTTTTCAACGAATAGCGTCACGTGTTGGAAACAACCGGTGAAATTTCATATTTAAAATTTTCAACTTTCTTCTAGTAACGCAAATATTTTTAAAGAAAGCAACTTTATAAATTTCGAAAATTTTATTAATTGGAAATAATATTATTTTATTATAATTTAATAATGTTAAATTTTTAGTCAAGGTACTTTTTCTAAAAATGATATTGCAAATAAAATTTTAATTCTTTCAAGACCAAAGTTCTTTGAAAAATTTATGGAACTAATAATTATTAAAAGAAGTCTCAACAGCGGCGAGTTAAGCCGCCGTCATTGGAAATACAACATTAAGAGCAACAATTCACGACGTCTTCAAAAGTTAATTTACATGGCGAATTGTTAGGCTTACATACAGTTTTGGTGACAATGGATGTGGTGGTGAAGTAGTGGTCGTGGTACTCGCCCTTTCGTTCGTTGTTACGGTTTGAGCATTGGGACATATTAAGAAAACGGTTGGAGTACAATGAACGACCCTTTTGCACATTATGTTTCGTTTGCATTTGTTATATTGATTTTTGCACTTGTTGTCTTGTCGATATTTGCTCATTTTGCATTTAAAGTATTTATTATCGCACTTTTTCTCATATTTTTGCTTGATATTGCCATGCTTTTGATGAGAATATTGTTTAACTTTATCAGTAACGCAGATGACGGTTTTATCATCATAATCCTTTTATTAATTGGGTCGGACGAGTAACGGTGGTTGTAGTGGTTGTGGTGGTGGCGGTGGTGGCGGTGGTGGAAGTGGAAGTAGTAGTGGTTAACGTGATAGTATCTGTTTCTGTGGTGGTGGTGGTAGTGGTGGTGGTGGTGGTGGAAACTTGGGCAATTCGAGGGATAACTGACCGCGTGTCTTGGTGATGGGTTTTGCATCGTGTGGCTGATACCAAATTATGAGAAAAAAAGAAACAAGACGATTAAATTGGTAGTAGAGAAAAGAAAGTTTCTATTTAACCACATTTTGGAGGAATTCTTCTTTAGAAAGGAGAGGTAATTTGAATTGCTTTATGAAAAGACGGTTTTTTTTCGAAAATTTATAGACACTCAATATGGCAGTCATTAAATAGCCGAATAATTTGATAACTCTCCACATATTTATTATAAAGGGTGTAATAGGAAGTTTTCAATTTTGTTATGAATAATGTTAAAATTAAAATATATTATTTGTTTAAGTTTCGTAAGCTAATTCTGTTAAGATTTAAACAGAACGTTAGATTGAAGACTTCGTATAATTATATCTTTTCAATAAATATTATTTACTGTATATTCCAGATACAGTAGTTTTTTTTTTTTTTTTTTTGTAATCACAGAAATCTAATTAAACATTGACGCGATACTTTCAAAATAATTATTAAAATATTTATTAATTAATGTTTTTCATTCTTTTTTTATGCACCATAACCTTATTATTCTATCGTTACAACTAGCTTTCTGAGTATTCAAATAATATTTAATTGTTGGTTTCTTTTTATTTGCATGTTTTATCGAAACAGCAAAACGGAAACGTCAGTTCACATGCACTTATTATAAATCCGTCAATCCTATTTTTGTCAAACAAACAAATTTACAGGCGCAATTTAATAATTAATATATATATATATATATATTTTTGAAATTGTTGCAGGGAAGACAGTTTACGAAGATAGTACAATAAAATGAATGAATTATCGCTATAGTCGTCAAATGCAGTAGTTCATAATATACTCCGTTAGATATAAAATTTATTTTTAAAATGGATGGGAATAATTTAATTAAATCCTGACAATTATAAGACCGACACCCGACACTACACACACCACAAAAACCCGATGGGTATAAATCTAGACGAACACAAAGTTTCGTCATTCTACAGAGGATAGCTTAGAATTAAAATTAGTGTTTCGAGGTTTAGTTAAAATCTACAAAATTTTGATATAACGATAATGTCACCTTTGGATTTTGTGTGTCGGTATTATGAAGGACTGTCGGGTTTATGATGCCTTGATTCAAAATTTGTGGATTATCGTTGTCGTGATTTCATTGAAAAACCCATTATTATACACTATGGCAAATAAACATTTTAAACAATTGAAGTCAACTTTGTGTTTGATTAGCAAAAGCAAAGTACTCTAATTAATGGTCTATTCGCCCTTGATTATGTTAATTTATTACGTACTGGATTATGCTGATTACGGTGGCCTATCAATCATTCAACTTAAATCCCGTCAAATAAAGTTCACTTTTAATCATGGAGACGCGAGTTTATTAAAATAAAAAATTTTAAATCAAGAAAATATTCATTTTTTTTATAACGAACATCGGTATATCGAGAAAAAAATCGTTATCGGTTTATCGAGAATAAATAATTATTGCTGGTTTACAACCAGAGTTTGGAATATGCAAAATCGTTAAATAGTGATAAATTTTATTATAAGTGGTTTTGATTTAAGAAAAAGTTCGTTATGGGCCAAAATCGGTTTATCGCGGATCGTTATATCGAGTTCTGACTGTATGGCTTAAACCTGACCCGACCCTTACAGAGCACTAAACTTTTTCAAATTTTACTATGTATATTTTGATTTGTGAGTTAATGTTTGCATTTTTATATTTAAAGGATTATTCAAATAAATCGATAAGTTTTTGCTATTATATGGGAGGTTTGCTATTAAAATATCGACATTAATATTAGAGTTAGGGTTTGGATTAGGATTAGGATTAGGTTAGAATTAGGATTAGTTAAGGGTATTAGCATATTTGTCACCTCGCGTCACATCCCAGCCGTTCTTTAATTTACCAAGTATTCTGGTGACTTGGAAATTCTTTTGTGAGAAAAATGCTAATTGTCATTATTACATGTCACCCTAATAAGTATAAGTGACCCAGCAAATAAAATCGAGCTACCATTTTTTACGGCCGACACTGGGACGGTTGTAACGAACGTAGTAAATCATATGATCTGTAGCGTAATTTTAATAGCAAACCTCCCATATACATAAATAAATTTGCTACACCACCCGTAGATAAAAACGAGAATAATTTGTCAACAAGGTAAATGGACGTGCAAATAGGTGTACTCTATAGTTGCAGTTTCGATTTTTGACTTTTAACGATTTTGTGATTGCAATTTTGGTTATCATAATATTAAAAAGCATTATTTAGTTATTTTGTTATTTTTTTGAATAGATATGAGTATATTAGTATAATACTTTTATTTGTATTAAAAATTTTTGCATGATAGATAATTAATTTTATTAAAATTTTGGCAATGTGAACTTTCTAATATATTATGTAACTATTCCAATTACTCATCTGTTTCTTTAAGTCTTTCTACGAAATCTGAATTAATATGTTGATTCTTCTTAAAGGTCTTTATGTTGTTATTTAAGTCTTTTATTTCTTCTAACAAATTTATCAATTTATTGTTTAATTTCTCCAAACTTATTCCAATTCTTTCAACTATAATGTTATTTTTCATTGATCCTTTAATTATGAACTGATTTATACTTTAGTTTTATAAAATATAATTACGTAACTAAGTTACCGATCACTGAAATTCTTGTAACACAATTTATCCGCTAAGAATGATCCAAAAATATATTCACAATATGGACCTACTAAACATAGACAATACTCTTCTTAGCCTAACAGCTAATGTAAAATAAAAATATTAGTTTGCCAGTATCATGCTTGTTTTTTTTTATCTCGTGTATACATTAGAATAGTAATAAATAAATGTGTGTAACAATAAAATGTGAACCGAGATTTTTCCGGGATGGATACAGCAACATTGCTGTGGCCGTCTTCTCGCAGATACTTGAAGACAGAAAAATTTCTCTCTTGATCATCATTCCTCAATCAGAGATTTTAGGTATCAGATAAATTAGCTTCTGGCCAGAGATAAAGTTAATTTATTCTGCTTTGGAATGAAATGAAAAGTGGGCCTATTTTTGCGTGCAAAAGTGATCGGGGTGATATTTTTGTCACACTAAATACTTATTTTATGTGCATAAAATAAAATTATTATCGAATGGAGATGAATTCATAAAGAGGAAAAGTCCGGACTTCTACCATGATCAGCACGCTTTTTACCGAAAATGCCGAGATTCCTGAACTTGGAAAAAAGTTTGTTGAGCTTAAAGATGAGAAAATTGAGTTTGAGGTTATGTATTTCGATCTTTTAAATTTATTTATTAATATTTATTTTTAAATTTTAGAAATGAATTTTAATATTAAAAAAAGTAATTCAAATTAGAGATAAATAGCTTGAATTGACGATCACCGAGCATATTAACGTTCCATGGAATGACACAAGTCGACTTTATAATACGGACATGAAAAGGGTAACATACAGTATAGTGACCCATAAAGAAATGCAACACCTAGTTTTTTAACTACTAAATTTCAATTTTGTTGTTTGTGTTTATAGGTTTTCCGTCGATAATACCTAAAATTGGTAATTTTAATCGACCTAAATTATAAAACGATCACATGTTTAATAAGATGCAACAACTGTGTTACAATATATATATGTATATATAACTCTATAAATAAAAAAAAAAAAAATTTTTTCACCACACCACATAAACAAAGTAAAATCATGCTGCCGAAGAATATTTCGATAAATTTCATATTATTGCTTTTGATACAATTATTAATTGAAGTAAATTGCCAAAGGTTTAAGCCATCACGACGATTTCTTCATACTGCTACATTTATTGATAACAAGTTATACGTCTTGGGTGGTCGAAATGATGATGGTGACGAACTCGTTGGAAAACAATTCTTTTATCTTGATGTAACTTCTTCGTTTAATGCAAAAGAATTATTATGGATTGACATGACTGGTAATAATATCATTCCATCTCATGATAGTGCCACATCTGTTAAAGGCGGTATAAACAATAATACTTTGATTTTATTTGGAGGAATTCCTTACAATAATAAACAATCAATGGATTTGGTTTATAGATATGATACACAAATTAACTTATGGCTCTCTCCAAATATTACTGAAAAAGTTATAATCGGCACAAATGGATTAACAGGCATTTTCAATAATGGACAGATATATTTATTCGGTGGAAAGGCAAGTGATGAAGTTGTTAATCATATGCCTATTTTTGATACAATAAATTTGAAATGGAGAAAAGCAAGTTTAATTAATGCACCGACTTCAAGATTTGTTTATGGTGCAACTCTTTTACCGGATCAACGCATTATTTATTTAGGTGGATATAATAACGGCCCTTTACCGTTAAATGAGGTGAATTATTTATAAAAATTTATAAAACGTATGAACTATATATAAACGATTATTCTTATACCTACTTAATAATTCTAGGTTTATTTATATGATACAATTAATAATGCTTGGGCTACAATGGTAAGATATAATAATTACATCTTTAATAGTAAAAATAATCTCAAACAATATTTTTAATCAAACTAGACAACTTCTGGAGCAATTCCTTCTGATAGATATGGCTTTTCTGTCGTACTTGGTAAATAATTAGTTAGAATATTTTTTTTTTTTTTTTTGAATTTCAGTTAATAAAGTATTATTATATTTTAAAAGGATTGGATGGACGTAGAATAATAATTTATGGAGGATATCGACTTGGGCCACTTGATCTACAAGATTCCCTTTATGTATTAGATTTAACAAATTTTAAATGGTACTGTACAGTACATTCCAAAAATTTCCGGAAGGGTTCCAATTTACAGAGTTTTCCATCAAGCAAATTTGATAGGAAATTATATAGCTATATCATTTGGTAAATATAAAATTTTTTTTTTATCGAAATTATTCCATTTGAAATTTTAGTACATATACGAATTTATATATTGTATTTAATAGGAAGGGGTTACTATGATGACAATGATCTTTTATTACTTGATATTAGTAACAATGATGATTATAAATGGATTGACATATCTCCATCATCATCAAAGGCACAACAGTTTAAGATACCAATTATAATTGGTGCAGTTGTAGGTGGGTTGGTGTTTTCATTATTGGGAGGAATTTTTGTATATAAATGGAATAAAAAGAAAAATGAAAAAGTGATACCAACTCCTGGAGATGAAGAAAGTAATATTAAAGATCAAGGCCATGAAATAGTCTCAACAACTCAAAAAATGCATAATCATGGACAAGAAAAAATTTCGCAAATACCTGAAAATAAAAATGAGAATTTAACAAATAGAAAGACTTATAATCATGGAAGAGAAGCGATTTCAAGTACTGATAATCAACAGAATATTGATTTGGAGAATTTTAAAAACGAAATGCTTCAAGTGGTTAGACAAGAAATCTTGCAAAATTTGAAACAAGATGTAAAAGAAAAAAGTGAACAAGTTTCTAATCAAAATGTCCTGGAAAATTTTAAGTCGGAAATGCTTCAAGCGGTTAAAGAAGAGATACAAACTTTAAGGCAGGAAACGGCTCATAATAGAGAACAAAATTCTAACACAAACTTTAAGAGTTAAAAAAGTTTTAATAATAAATTTTTTATGTAATATTTAATCAACTATGTAATTAGTTAATGGGTTATAGTTAATTCTTTTGGTTTTCTTAAAGCTTGAAATTTTTTTAAATTTTTTTCTATTGTAATTTTTTATAAAGTTTTCTTTAATTTATTATATAGTTTGATGACGTTTTCATTTTTTTTTATCTGATGAGAGAGTATTTGTTGCGTGAAATATGGAAATAAGAAATCTGTATTACTTAAATTGCCATTCAATCATAGCGTTTTAATTATTACATCGTTTTTTCATATTTTTTTTTTTTGTTTTTTCTTTTTTTTTGTTTTTGAATGTTATGGGTAATTAGAATATTATTAAATACAAATATCAATATTTTTTTTTGGTAACAACAACTTTATACAATTAACCGTTGTAAGTACTTTACATCACGTGAATTACAATATTTTTCAAAAAAATAATTTCTTTACCTTGCCTTCTTTCTGATAGTTTGAACTTTTATGTGATCTAAAAAAAAAACAAGACGTATTCTTTTAAATAGAATGCTAAACTAATCTTCCCGAGGTTTTGAACTTACTGGTAAAACTAGTTATAGTCGAACAAAATTTTTATTAAAAAATATATGAGGATTAAAATGAATGTTTCTGGCATCTGAAGTTAAAGTGTTATAAGCTTTTAAATTTAATGTACATTATTGTTTGGTGCCAATTATTATTAGATTCAGAAAGGGGTGGGTAAATATACGCACGAATATTTTGGATTCTCGTCAAAATTAGAATTTCTCTCTTCATTAATTACAAAAGCCACTCCGAAATTTCTATTTTCATTAAAAATTTCTTGAAATGTTCCCCCAAAAACAAAAAACAAAATTACTTGTGAAACACAAGCATTTCGCTTTTATGTCTAGATAAAAAGTATTCTCTTCTCTTAAACCTATTACAGAGAGCCGGCTGAGGGCAATAATATTTGAATTCTTTGTATAAAACCGTGTCTTTTTTCTATCTTTTTTTTTATCCTCAATATAGCCAGATTAATATTTTTAAAACAAAATTTCGGAAATGTTTTTTTTTATGCATTATATAAATTGACCTCATTCGTATAAGCATAAATCATGAAGCATACATGCATGTTAACTTTTTTTTCATTTATTGTGAGAAAATTTCGATATTAAATTTTATTACAAAATGTTGAAATTTTAATTTTTATTGCATCAATTTGTATACTTTTTGTCTCAAATTTTTAAAATTTTTTTTTCTTTTAAAAAAAAGCTATAATAATAAAATTCTTTTACATTCTGCTGTTTCGGAGTAGAAATTTTATCTAAATATTTACTCGCGGACCGATATATTCCGAAACTTATATCGTTATCGCCTCCGAGAGTTAATCTCATCACATGCGTCTTGGAGTTTATTTGTCGTCTCCAAAGGATTGAATTAAATTGAATTTGAATTTTTGTAATCCTTTTGAATAAAGGAAATTCATGAAGTGTATAATTAAATGACGGGATTGTTCAGCGCATGTCACTGTAATGTGATAACTTATTATACTAGCTTGAACAGGTGATTAAATTTTTCAAAGATCAAACAACGTTAGAGATATCGTATTATATTTTATTAATGAGGCGGGTAACATTTATCCTTTTATAAGTAAAAAATGTTAACGGTAACGGTCTGTAAACTTTTATTTAAGTACTGCTAACTGGGTTAGAATATTTTTTCTATTTCAGTAACTTCTAAAATGAAACATTACCTGAATTCAAAATTAATTAGTTATTTACTTTGGTATAAAAAATTGATTTAATGAAATGCTCATTTTATCATGTTAGATAACTCTGAATGAAAGAGTATAATTTGAGGTGTGAGCATGTGATATTCATGTTTCGCTTAGCCAACTATTTTAAAATTAGTTGTAAAAATGGATTAAATTCTAGACTCTATATAAATAAAATTTAAACCCTATGAAAATTTCATGATTTTTTTGAAATATCTCTAAATTGTATCGATCAAACATATATATCCGTAGTAGTAACTAAGGTTGTTTAGCAAAACCCTAAGGATTCGACAGATGTCAAATCGAAACTAAGTTTTAACGTTTTGCCAAATCATTGTTCTTAAAGGCAAATCGACGGGTTGACGGTGGCGATGCGTGGTTAAACATAAAAACTTTCTTCCTAATTTATTTATATCAGGTATATAATTTGAAAAATTTTCATTTATTATCATTAGAATTATGTTCGAATCTCTGTCTAGTTCAACTTGTTAAAAACCGTTAAATTTTCGTGAATCACAAAATGGGATTAGGTTTTCCGTAACCTTGCTTATAACTACATATAAAAAATTTTTTAATTAAAGCAGAAAGAATTGTGTAACCGTCAATTAGTAGAAAAAATAATTGTGCACATAATTTTATTTTCAATACACACTGTCGCCTCACATCTCATATAAGAATACACAATTATTAAGAAATAATAGCAATAATATTTTTCTAATCTAATTATTAAAAATGGGATAAGAAATCTTTATTAAGAAAAATCTGAAAGTTCAATCAGAAGAACATATTGAGTCACTTTTTTCTGAATCCATTCCGTTTCTTTATTCCATCCTATATATACAGTATCTTTTGTTGTGTGATATTCTTGCTTACAATAATTATCATATATTTCATCTATGTCTGGAACAACGAAATAAAGATGGATCGGTAAACATTATCCAATAAGACTTCTCATTTCTTGAAGGCCGCTTACCTATATAATATAAATTCAAGTATAAGTTTAATAGTAATTAATACAAAGCTAATAAAAACCAATATTACCTTAATATTATTTGTTTTTGCGATTGTCATTTGATATAAATAATGAATACACCCATTATAATTAGGCGTAAGAGCATCAAAAGCTTTAAGGTTGCATTGTCGGGTAAATTAATATTCCATCGAAACTATTTCATCAATATTATGGAAAACATTTTGTTTCAGCTCTTGGAGTTGTAGTATTTCGCAGTTACCAGTGCTTAAGTTTCGCACTTTAAATGTTCCACCTTTTCGCAATAAGTCGTGAGCCATCATTTCGAATAATTTTCCAGACAACGGAGCAGCAGCATCTCCTGCAAGGTTTTTGATTAAATTAATAATACAGTCTTTTGTAGTTTTTTTGTATTTTTCATACAAAGCCTTAGATACAATTTCTGAAGCAGGAATAAACTCCTTATCTTTAAATTTTGGTTTGGGCGAATGTGTATTGCTTTACCAGAATATTTATCACCTAAATCTTCCCCTTCATTATCAATGTAATCATGAACATTTCATTTAGCTATTATGTCACTAATCTTCGGTTCCTTATTGTAATCGCAGAAAATCCGTCGTGGTACACAACCCCACACATTAATCAATTCCTTAACTCGTTCTTCAGGTATATTATTGTGGTTCAACTTCCATACATCCAAGATTTCCTTTTCTACCCATAAAGATGAATAATATTTAAAAACACCACCTTTCTTCTCGAATTCATGCACTCGGTCATTTCTTGGCATTGTTAATAAAATTGTGAATTTGGTTTCAACATCAGTAGGTGCCATTGAATCTACAATGTAATAACTATTACTGGATCTTCGGAGATTAGGTCAGAAATGATCATTACGCTTTGGTTTGGTTTAATGCGAAGAATCAAACCTTCATTAGTGCCTTTGCATAATTGTTCAAATATGATATCTATTTCTTGGTACCGACGCATTATATAAAAAGCGAAATATAATGAGAAGTGTGTTTTACCAGTGCCCGGCGTTCCGATTATCACACACCCATTTGCGCTCTCATTCTCACGGTCTGTTTCAATCAATTCGATCATCTTTAGATATTATTCTTTGATGTATATACATTGCTCTGTTACTCCGCGAACTATTCCATATGGAAGTTTGCATAAACATAGAAATTTTGCACAATTATCCAACTTAATATGACTAGAAACTACAAACTTACATTCCTCTCCTTCGTTTAACCTAACTTCCACTGGTTTACCATCATTTAATATTAATACGTTTTCAGAGTATATCATTACGTTGTTCTTTAATACAATTTGATCCTCTTCAACATCCATGTAACACGAATACGGTTCAGAATTCAACACGTTTTTGTCAATATAACCCGGTGGCATTTTGCAAATAATTTGCGAATTATAAAGGTTTAACCAAATTCGCAATAACGAGGAGGATCAAGTTTTCGAATAGACTCTTGAAAATCACCTGAACGTTTCAATATGTAAGAAGAAGAATGTAATTTAGATACTCAAAGCTATCTAAAAGGTTATTCGATACGTTAGGTTGAACAATTATTACGACGCAAAGGCTTACCTTGTTGTTCATGATAAAGAACAAAAAAGGTTTAGTCGTAGCGTCACAAACAATAATAACGACAATATTTTATTTAACATACTAGGTATAGTATTAATAAAATCTTTTAAAAGACTTTGTTGATCTTCTTTTGTTTGATAGGAGCTTGTAAGGGCTGAAAACAATACTTCTTCCATTTCATGATTTTTGATTAAATAAATTTCTAGTTTGTTCGCTTCTGATTGTTCTATATCAAAGCTATCGATGATTTCGTAAACGTTAGACATATAGTTAAGATAAGGTTTGAAAGAAGTAAAATAATGAAAAACGATTTTCTGGACTTATTGACTATATATACTTCATTAATTATGTGAACACGTCAAGAATTGACACGTGACATGAAAATGCTTATATAAGATAATTTTGATTTGATGTATTGCGCCAGGCTTTGGCGTGTGACGAGTATCAGGTGTTCAATTCCACCGCGTTTATCATATGATTTTCTCGGCAAAGATCAAAATGCGATATGTAACAAGAAGAGTAATATGTCCACTTTATTCATTCGTGACCAGGAATATAGATAGCAAAATACTTTGACTAAGTGAACTGGCTACGAGAATAGATGGGATTTTAAATCGTTTAGCAGTTTGGATTGATGATGCAGATTAGTTTGGATGCTTATTTCGTTTGATTTTTTGTTTTATTTTCACAAGGCAGAGGTTCTCACCCTTTTAAGTTGATTTAAGAATCAAATTCGGAATATACCTTTGAAGAAATTACGTTAATATGATCGCATCATGAAAATCCGATCAACATGCATAATTACGGTGCTTTGTAAGGGATACCTATAAAACGCCAATCGGATTATCGCCGAAAGTAAAAAAAAATAAAAAATAAAAAATATATACACGATGTGAAATTAAAGAAAAAAAAAAAAAATAAAGATCGACCCGAATTTAAAAATCAAAAAAAAATTTATTAAAAATATAAAATCTTACATTTTTTCCGTTGCGATAGCGACCCGGCAGCTTTGGAAAGTCTATCGTGCAAATTGGAAAAGTTCAAAGAAAATATCTCGCATTAAAATCGTTTCATAACTTCAACAATACCACTGTTAAAAAACTTGTTCACGAGGTAATTACAAAATAAAAGATTGTATTTCGTTTTATTTCGGACTATTCAATATAAAATCTTTTGTATATCAAGATAAAATTTATACTTCTAATAAATTATCTTGAACTTTAACGGGAATTTGATTTTCATAATAATATCTTTCGCTATTTAGGAATTACATCAAACCCAATGGTATAAAGGTTTAAATAATGCGGATATGTATTGACCCTTGCATTATATTTTAATTCACTATATATTTTTAATAAAAAACTAATCAAAAATATTGGTTAGTAATGGAGAATGCTGATGGGTGTGCACTTGAAGTGTAATTTTGATAAGCTTGCTTTGGGAGATAAATACAACTTGGCATTACAGTTGGTTTGTGTTGTATTGTGTTTACATGAAGAAGGAATTTTGCATTACTTTTTTAAAAAACAAATAAAAAAAAGCTTCCTAAAAAAACTTTTGCTCAGACGATTTTCTTTAATCAATTAAGGAGACGGGACTTTTCAAAGATGAACATACTATAGAAGCTTTTTTTTTTATTTGAGATGCGTAGACATCTAAGTTTTTAAAAAATATATTTTTATCGCAATAAGAGATTCTCGCATCATACATGAGTTTCATCTTCTTTGCATTATAAAATTAAAAGTTATTAAATTTAAATATTTATTGTTGTACTTGCCTGATTATCGACACTTACCTACATAGAAAAATATGGGATGTAAATTACCAATTATTTTCTTTTAAAAACAATGTAAAAATTTAAAAAAAAATTTTATTTTAAAAAAAAAATTTCTTTATATACACGATGACTTTTTAGATAAGTGATACATACAGTTTTTTTCAAAGTTATGAAGATTACCGTAAGCATAGGATGTTACAATTTAGGTGCTACGGTATAAAATCAATGGTGAAGATTGGATTTGAATAACATAAATCTTTAATTATAAACTGAAACAAGTTTTATCTAATTGTGTAAAAACAACCATTTATTTTTGGATTTTTCAAATATTCTTAAAATTTTATTGTTACTTTTTTTTCGTAAATTCTTCCACCGATTACAGGAAAAAAAAAATAATTTTGCCGTGAAATACAAAAGAAATTTGAAATTATATTTTTTTCATAACATATAATAAATATATTATAAAATATATTATTATAAAAAATATTTATGTAATTATCACCATTTCTTTTCCTAAATTAATGAAACAGACTGATGTTTAAGTTGATGTATTTGTAAATTTTACCCGAATCTTTAGAACGATACCACAAATCTTCGCATCGTCTTGAAATTATTAGGTATAATAATTGATTTTTGAACGATAGCTTAAAGATGGTCTATTTAAGTTACATGAAAGTATTTTTTCCTTTCAATCATTTTTTTCAGCTTTTCAATCGTCAGATCCAAACCAATTTCCAAAAATTTGCAATGATCTCCATCTCAAGAATATTTCGTGAACACGTATTTCTGTTTTGTCATCGTTAATTCAACCATGTAGAAGCCTTTTAAAAGTGTAAAAAATAAAATAAGGACATAATTTTGCAACAAACTAATGATAAGCATCGGTTTACCATGTAGTATTCGTTGAAGAATTTGCGAAATAAACTGATCCAGTCGACCTGTTTCCAATTCTTCAGTGTCTCTGTAAATTCGATAACTTCTACCTCCGTCCTTAAAATATCCACATAAGACGGAGACTGTTTTTATGTTGTATCTTTTTAAAGCATAAAAAAAAATTGTAATAGCAATAAATTTTTACAACCTTATGGAATCTATTCTATCAAAATCGAATTAATCGAAAATAGAATAAAAACAATATCTTTTTAGTGGATAGTAAGGATAAATCTAGAATGGCCTGAGAAATAATTTAACAATCTACCACCATCGTTAACACTCGAAGCAAATGAACCCATAAAATAAATAAACATCGCCTTACCCAATTCTTTCAAACAGAAAGAAGAACAAAGACCAATCAAGCTAAAGGGTGGAAGGATAAAAATGTTCGATCGCGATTGAACCTGTAATATTTAATTAATCAAGCAACCAAAGGTCGAAAGAGGAGTAACCTAACAAGTAATAGCAAAAAAAAATCTAAAATGAAAAATTTAATTTATGTAATAAGAAAGGCTGTTTGACCAATGCAATATGAAGCGATCGACCTGAAAATCAAAAAAAAAAGTAATGTTTAATTAATTTTTTACCGAAATGATAGAACCCGAAAGAGTGAGGAACTTAAAAGCAAAAAAAAAAAAAACCATCCAAACATTAAATTAAAGCCTTAAAATATAGAAAATGTAATCATTGATCATCACAATTTGAAGCAAAAAGTATAAAAATAAAAAAATTTTGACAATAAAATTTTTCTTTGATAACAAATTTTTGGGATAACTGCGATCAAAAAAATCGGTGCGTCATTAATGAAATAGATTAATCGAAACTCGAGAAAAGATTATTCGCGATTAATCGATTCTAAAAATATATTCTACACTTTTGAATTGATTCAATCCCTATTTATGATAATTATTGATTTACTTGGTGGTTGCTTCTCGTCTACATGGTATCCGTGTCTTGGTCGAAACATCATGCTCAGATTTCTTCCAAAGCTGTTGTACTCCAGCAGCACATAGACAACGATTTTTAGTTTTATCGTTCGTCACGATTCGTTTAAGGCGATTGCGTTGAGGTATTGGAACCAAAGGCGGACGTCCAGAATGATGCATCGTCCTAAATCATGAGAATCTCTCGTAGCTAATTTCGTCCTCTGTCTTATAAGTTTTCATCTGTGGTTACCGTACAATCTTGTCTTTATATATTGATTTCTATATACACGAAATTAAAAAGATTATTCATTTGCTTTCACTAGTATATTGTCGAATAAGTAAAAGATGATTTTAGTTATTATTATTGAGCACTCCAGTAAGTAAGCATGACATAAATTCTTCAACCAAGTCTTCATATACAAAATAATCTATTAAAAAAATTTTTTGTTTGGGCGAATTTTGCTCCTAATTATGTCGAAATCCAGATGCTCTTACCTGAATTCTAACAAATGCTGTTATCTTCAAAAAACGTTCGTAAGCACACTAGTCGTATAACTAAGGAATTTCTTTCGATCCAATAACCATCAAACAGTCGTATAAAATCTATAGCGACACAAAATTTGACGATTTAAAACATTTTAAGGTTGACCCATCGAAACCCATCGAAATCGAAAGGTTTCGAATTGTCAAAATGGGATTTGGATATTGCCACGTAACTTTAGTTGGAACATATTTTTTTAAAAAAAAATATCATTTTCGACTTCCATACTTTTTGCTAAACGAAATGAACAAATAAAAAATGAAACTAATGAGAATAAGATTGTAAAATGTATTGTGACGCGATAAACTTTAAAAAATGATCGCGATAAATAAATCACGTGAACTTTGATTTATTGATAACTTACATAGCGTCGCCCGTAAAAAATGGTAGCCGGATTTTATTTGCCGGGTATTTATTATTAGGGTTCGTATTAGAGTTAGGGTTTGGATTAAATCCCAGCCGTTCTTCAATTTACTAAGTATTCTGGGGACTTAGAAATTATTTTGAGAGAAAAATGCTAATTGTCACAATTATATGTCACCCCTAATAAGTATATGTGACCCGGCAAATA